AATTGTACTATTTTGCCACTGCATATTTGCATAACTCGGCATAAACCACATAATTCATACAGAATAATCAAATCTGACCAGACCTTCTCATGTAACAACAATGTTCAGATGCAAAAGGAAGAAGTTAGAAAACATACTATGTACTTGTTGAAGAATATGTGCCCTCATATAAAAGACTAACAGAGAATGGTGGCTGAAATTTGTCTGTTAAATCCAAGTGGTTTTGGGACTGCCAATCTTAGCTTTATGGCAATAACAACGTCACCTGATGTTAAACCACGAAGAAGGTTAAATGGAGGGGGAGGGGGGGGGGGGGGGAAACACTAGAACATCTATAATCGTTTGAAATTAGCCAGTGTGCAGCTTGGATTGACTTCTCTTAGAATCTCATTAGAGATAATTATGACCTGAATTGAACACATTCTGTTCGGCTAAGTATTTCCATATTGTTGGTAGTTCAGAGTCCATGAACTTTGTGCTAAAAATGGAATAAGCTTAAATAAACAATCTGGAATCGTTTTTTTTTTTTTTTTTTTTTAATTTGAAAGCAATGTTTTATGGTTGCAAGCAGGGCCATTTTAAAAAGGTCTGACAATAAATTACCATTGAAAGATGAAAAAATCCACAAATGAACCAATAAGGCAGAAAATGATCATATTACAAAAACAAAAGGGTTTAATAATTTGAGTATCTTCAAAATGTGTAAAGATCAAGAAACGGTAGTCTCGCTATGATTAATGGGATGGCAAAGACAGCCTATAGTTTATCAAATAACTTTTAATTTGTACACATCTGTAAATGTAAGCAATTATTTCACAAATCAAACCAGTCTGCATGTACTGTACACCTGGAAGCAAAGGTTTTAAAATAAAAACAGAGCATTTGTTCCACAAAATAATCTGTTTCTCGCTTCAATAATTAAGCATGTTCTTTTTTTAACCCCCAGCTGGGCCTAAAACCTCAACATTTGTGTGAGAATGTAATTACCGTGTAGGCTTAATATGCGCCATAAAAGCACTCTTGTGCGTGTCTTAATCTCGACATCAAAGTGAGTGAGTGCCGGTACCTTCTCACAGCAAACGTATCACACAAATCTCATTACAGACAACATCTAATTACTGCCTGGAATTCAATGCTTACTTGGAAGGAATACAAAGCCTGAGCCTGACAGCCTGGCCTCAAAATACCTCATCTTTTACAGCCACACTGTGTGATTTTGATCAAGGCATATTAGCCCCATGTCAAGAGGACGGAAAGGACCATCATATGACTACGATCACAGGCCAGCAGTTAGAGATAAACACCCAGGAATGCAGGCTATTCACAAGAACTACTAGGGGTCTGCGAAATGCCGCTTATTAAAGTCAAGTCATCTGTATTTATACAGTGTGGAGATTGTTATAAAAGCAGCTTCATGGTAATAAAAGAATGAATGATGCAAACTTCCTCATTCTCAGTCAAATTCTGCTGTAAGGACTCGTTCACAGAATGCGTTTTTGCCTTGAAAAACGTGAGATGGAATGGCAAAAAAACACAAGGTCTAGAGATGTGTTTTTTATTAGTTGGACTGATTTTAATTTGAGCGGCGCATTTCAATACCGTTCAACAACAGTGTTGATGTTGCATGATCCATCAATTATAAAACAAATTCGATTCAGCTATAAAGCAGTGCCAATAGTGTCATCATCCAGTTCAATTCATTCAAGTTTTGTTCTCATCTGATAGTGTCAGTGACCACACAATCCAGACGAGGAAAAGTTTGCCGATAACTTCACCGCAGATTCTTGACTATGACATTTAGCGCATCCTTCCAGCCTTCCAAAAAAGGAAGCAATAGTGTTGTGCTTTCGGACATCAACATTCTGAACACAGGAGGAATAATCCAATTGAATCCACACTAATCCAAATGAACACAGCGTGCGTAGCTGTGGTTATCCCGGGTAGGGAGAAAGGGGAAGGGAGATGCCTGCACCCCAGCTTATCAACTGTCAGTGGTTTGCTGCTGTAACAGGCGGTGTTATCAGGGTCAGCCCTGCTCGGGGATTGGAGGGCCCTACTGTGTCAAGTAAACACAGAAACCTGTCCTCATGCTTATCTGTCCTGGGAGAGAGAGGCAGCCAGAGAGGAGAGGGATAGAGGGGAAAAAAGAGCGAGGAGGTGGCAGAGGGGAGAGAAAAGGAGGAGGGGTGATTGAAAAGCAGTGAAAAGGGATCTGTCTCCATGGCAACCACAGTCGTCCACCCCCCACCCCCACCATTTTTCCCACTCCTCTGCAGAGAACTCTGGTGGTCTTTGTGTAACGCGATTCCACTAGAATGCACTGTGTGGATTAGTGCAGAGCAGTGCCCGGAGGGCTCAGACAGGGCCACAGTAAAGACATTATTACCCAGATCAAACGCTGTAATCACACAGCACCGAGGGGGCTTTCGCATCCACGCCAGATAAAGCCAAAGCCTGGCAATGCTCAGGTGATTAGGCCATTATTACAGTCTTTCAGCCCCGTGCCAGGACCTTGCCAGTCGAAACATTGTCCATCTCCACTAGCTACAAGGGAAGGTAACTTCACACCAGCAGAAGCACATTGCCGTTGATCCATATCCATAAATGATGCACCATAGCATTATAACCACAAAATAGACAGGGAAAATCCAGTTTGGCATTGACAATCATGTTACTAGTAAAGGTGTGTGTGTGTGTGTGTGTGTGTACTTACTTCATTGCATGATCAAAGAAGCTTCCAAAACCCAGTGAGGTGCCTTGCTGCCTACATGCAGCATCCTAACCAGAATGGAACTTCAAGTGACTGATTAGGAACATTCTACATCCACAACTGTTCAAAATATATATTTTTTGAAAGATATAAATATACTATATTAAACATGTATCAATTGTACATGTATCAATATACATATATACAGTATATAATATACTTTTATACAGCAAAAATTCATTCAATTTATCAAAAGTGACAGTTAAGACTATTACATTTTTTTTGTGCAAAAAACAAAAACAAAACAAATGCTGTTCTTTCAAACTTTCTATTTAGCAATGAATCCTGAATGCTGCTCTCATGAACTTTCCATTCATCAAAAATCCTGATTTATCACGGTTTCCACAATAATATTAAACCGCACAACTGTTTTCAACATTGATAATAATAAATGTAGCACCAAACAAGTTCTGAAGGATCATGTGATACTGAAGACTGGGGTAATGGATGCTGAAAATTCAGCTTTGCATCATAGGAAGAGATCCAGAATGAGGTATATTAGGATAAGATTTTGAAACAGTCATTTCTGGAACGCACTTTACCTACAGAGGCTGCTCACTAGGTTTTGGAACAGAGTTTGAATCTAAACAGAGCAAAAGTATTGAAAACGGATGTTCTTTCCCATGCACCAATCAGATGAAAGCTGCTCCTACAAAGATCAAGCCTCTCTTGAAACCAAGATCACAGCTCTCTGAAGGCTTACCTGATTTCATTGTCAATAAGAAATACAAGATGTAAATGAAAAGCCGTCTCCATCTCCAGCAGATCTGTGTAAAACATGAAAAGGGACGGAAACGACTGACAGCCCATCCACTCGTCCAGTGTCAGGCACTCAGAGGGAGTAAAAGCTTTCATCCCTGCACGGCCCCTCAACCTCTTGATTGAGAGGAAGAAAGTTCCAGAAGAGCAGAGGGGTTGCTATATAGATGCACTCAGGAAATGCACACTTGTGTCTATGTGGGGGGGCATTACAGAAAGGGAATCAAGCAGAGGAAAGCAGAGACAGAGCGTTTCAGAGCCAAAACCATCCGTCTCTGCTTTTATAGTCTTACAAAAACATCACTAAAGAGGCGAGGGGATGGAGCTCTCAAAGAGAGCCCCTCGCTGTACAGAGGAACAGACAGAAAATAAGGGCTGGAGAGGGCATTCATCTCAGCTGACCTCCTAATAAGAGCGCTCCACTACCAACAGAACATTCAGAGAGGCCGAAGAGCAGGGCTTGCGTCATGCTTCCCCTTAAGTGCCTTGAAGTTCAACTCTCCATTGATGCACCATTACAATACCCACCGAACAGGCCAACGATGAGAGACTAGTTTACAACACTGAGACATTCTTAATTTTTTTTTTTTTACAAAAAAAAACAGTTTATTGAATTATCAACAACTGTACATAATCTTCAGTGACAACACAGTTTGCTACATACTTTGGTGTGTATTTTGAGACGTGTCCATTTCTTGCAGCTCTTTTCTCTTTATTTTCGGGAGGGGGCATACTAACAGTGTGATGCTATAAACAAGCTGGACAGTAAGTAAATGTCTGTGCGTTAGGCCAGGGTGTTACAGTCCATTTGGCTTATCGGCAGACATTTTACTCTTGTGTTTCCTGTATATGGAACACTATGCACACAAAACACAGTGTCACTTGAGACTCAAGAAAGGGGGAAAAATAACCAATTGATCCAAATTCCAAGTCTTCCACTACGAGAGATGATGTCATGTCCTGGTCATACAACAGCACAATGAAGTCACAGGTTTGAAAGTAGTCCTCTACTAATCGGTAAATCAAAATCCAGGACCGAGTGCACCATTGAGGAACTCTCTGCTTGTACGAGGCAGGCTCCCTTTTCTCACAGGAAGGCAGAGCAGACGGCGAGTTTGTTTGAGAACTGAAACGCCCCTCCCCGCGGAGTCTCAACTGCAGTCTCAGGTGCCTTGCATCGGGTTTAAGCCACTCAAAAAAAAAATCCACAGGACATTTTAAAAAAACGCCTCTGTAATGTGATTTAGCTCAAAATTGTTTTTCAGGAGGGAAGAAAAAAGTAAATTAGATTTCCATAAAAGGTCAGCTTGGAAAATGAACTTCTCAAAGGGAGGGGAAAACGGAATAGAATATCCTCATAGAAAAAACCTCTTAATCTAATTTCCAAACCTCGAAGGGGAAACGAAGCATCAAGGAGAGAATGAGAGAGAGAGAAAGAGAACCATCACAAGTGTAACAGGACACCAAAATATAAATCTATAAAAGGCATTTTAATACTCCATTATGTACACTTTTCACATACCCTCCACACAGATGAAGTTTCAGAACGAAGCGCTGCTTCACGATGCATTATGGAACATTCTCACTGCATAGTGAGGGGAAAAAAAATAAGGAAACAAAATCCAACAAAGAAAGATTTGAAGCAAAAAAAAAAAAAAAAAACAGCAAGTAAGGAAACATCGAGTGTTCTCTAGTGCCATATGAACCGGGCCGAGTGTTTGGGGTCTGTAGGGCTGCACATTCGTGTCTTAGTCCAGGCAGCTCAGTCCAGAGTCACCCCAGCATCCACTCGTTCACCTCTGCGGTCAGTCAGTAAAAAGTCAGTGAGTGTGAGACAGACAGTCAGACAGACAAGGGCTGTTCCTGTCTGTTTGACTAGGAGAGTCACTGGAGTGAGAAGTTGTGTGTGTCCCCTTCCTCCTCCAGAGGCCTGAGTGCTCCAGTCTGTTACCTCTCAGTCTAGTAGATCACTTCATACACCGTGGCCTTCTTGTCTCCAGAGCCTGTAACAATGTACTTGTCATCGGCTGATATGTCACAGCTCAGGACCGAGGATGATTCCTTTGACTGTGAGAAGGGAAAAAAAGCCACAATAAATCTGGTGAAATAAAAAGATTTAAATATTAACTTCAAATGTACCACAAAGGGCCTGCATAAAACTCTTTAGACATCCTCTATTACTCAAAGAAAATGCTGACAACTGTATACATAAAGCACTTCTCTTCCCCCACCAAATGATGCATTAGTGTTCGTGCCGAGCCCCTTCAGTCATAAACACTTGAAGGGTTATCATTATTTACTCTTAAGCTGGTAGATGCAAACTACACACGCGGACCCACATCCGCACTAAGTGGTCAGGACCCAGCGTTAATGACATACTCCAGCCCATTTCCGCTGATCAAGGCCCGGCCTGTCAGCCAGCGGTCACCGTGCCCTTTCTACTGATCCAGGCAACCCACACATTTCCTGCAGACAGTCTGTATTGATCTCTGTACCTGGAATATGCTGGCGCCGTAGGGAGTCCTCCATGCATTCAACAGATTGTCCTTCCCAGTGCTCACAAACCATTTACCTTGTCAAGGGAAATCAAACGTAATTAGAGCTCTGTTCAGAGTACAGGCAAAATGGAGATATGCACAGAAAGCTAAAAAAAAATGGACAGTCAAGGTTCTGTCGTTGTGCTATGCAGAAGTGCCGCTGTATAACTTTAAGATAACTTCAAGCAAAAACTCTAGTGAAGATATGTAAAGAGTGTCTGCACTCAATCTGTGAAGCTTGAATAAGTCTCTTACCACAGTAGGCAAACTTGAGAGAGAGAACGCAGCTCTCGTGAAGGTGCAGCTGGTACTTGTCAGGCTTGGTGTGGTGGAGCACTTCCACATTGCTACTTTCCATGCCAACAGCCAACCACTCACCCGTCGGACAGTAGCCCAGGGAGAAGATCTGCGTTTGGGGGGGGACAGACACAAGTTGAGTGCCATAGCTTTGCACTTGAAGCCAGCATGAAATGAAAATGTAATTTTTTTTCCCAAATGCATGTTTTAGGTCATATTGTGAACTATTGATTCATGCAAGTTTCATTAAAAAAAATAATTAAAAAAAATACTCGATCTTCCGGTGAAACAGACCAGTTTCTCCAGTGATGTGTGCAGGACTTTTCAGATAATTTAGTCAAACCCACCCCTGCATACTCGCATTCATCTGCCTACATTTTTGAGTGCAATGCCCATACTTCAAAATCTAATCAACAAACGATCCATAGAACACCACTCTACATTTTTTCTTTTTCAGTATTGATAAACTCGGATGTATGTCACAATACAGTAGAAAAGATCTGTCACCATTTCCGTTTCATTGTGACTTCAAAGCTCCATGATTGTGCTATGGCCTAACCTGAGACGTGAAGTCATGCTGTTGGAGTTGCCGGCCCTCTCTCAGGTCCCAAGAGCGGACTGTGTTATCAAGGCCACCTGTCCAGAGCTTGGTGCCATCATGAGAGATGTCAATGCAGCTGGCACCATCTGTGTGTCCTTGAAATTGCCTGCAAATCACGAAAAGTAAAGGGTTTAGAGAAAGGCCTTGCTTTAAATCTTAAAGACATATAAGAAAATGTAATTCACAAGAAAGAAAATCCTGAAATAGGCCCACCTGACAAGGGTCTGGTTGTGGAGGTCCCAGACGGCGATGTTACCATCGCTGCAGCAGGAGAAGCACACCTTGGCATCTGGGCTGATGGCCAGTGCGTAGCAGGCCGGTGCGGAGGAGGTCAGCTCGGCTTTGATGCGTGGTGTCTGGGAGGCAAGATCCCAAATGGTCAAAGTGCTGGCCTCCCCTCCGACGATAAGTGTGCGGCCATCAGGCAACAGCTTACAGGACCGAATGTAGTTGTCCCTGTTCTGTAGAGGGACAATAAAATATTCCAAACAATTAGGGCAAAACAGTTCAAGCTTCCCACATTATGCCCCCAAATACTTCAAATGTTATGAGATGCTACTTTTTAGAAGCAACTAAAAAGGTACTATAAGTATATAAAGCTTTATTAAAATAATATAAGAGTAAGTATGAGTATGCAATAGTACTAGCAAGTATGATTTTGGCCCTTACCAGGCAGTCAAGTTGAGACACTGGACTCTTGCTTCCAGGCTGACTGATGTCCCAGATCTTAACACAGCCCTTGCCACCAGTGTAGACGTGGCGAGTCGGGTTGCTGATAGTCACGGCACACACAACCTCCCCATGACTGAGTGTGTTAATCTGACGGGCGTGGCGTGGGATCCCTGGACCAATGAGAGCGTCTGGAGGGAAGGGCACGGGCTGCATCTGTCCGTCAGCGCTGACGTGGAAAGAGTAGGCTCTGAGAGAGACAGACAGACAAGGAGAGAGAGACCTCGTTAGTAATCTAGCAGTCAACAGCGCACTGATTGAAGTGGGTTAATTAAATCAATTACAGCAATATGAGAAAGTAGTTTGAAATGAGGCATTAAGAGGTGGAAAAGGTTGTGCTCTTAAGCACTCTCACGGAACCGTTACATAAATAGTGTGGGGAAAGAAAACGGTCTAGTGCGGCTACAAGTTATTTATGATCATTTAATCTTTGACGGACACTTACGGTTTTCCACCAGAGATTGAGGTGAGGCTGGCAGGGAGGCCGGGAGCTCTCATATGAGGGTGCTCGAAACCCGCCTACAGAAACAAAACAGAACATGTTGCATTTCAACAAAGATCTGTATTAAAACACACATTACAAACACCACAATCAAAGCCTTATACAGTATAGAACTGTGCATAGATTCACTTTTTATTTACTCTTGTGCAGTTTGAAACCTGTAAGGTCTGAATTTATTAAAAAAAAGTGGTACATATGGTTCATGTCTTATGGAGCCATTCAAAAGCTGTGTGTGAAAAATGTCCAAAATATGTAAATAAATCATTCTTTTTCAAATAATCAGTTGATTCAGTTCACAGGACCAGTCTGAATGATATTCTTTTGAACTAAACCAATCTAGTTCAGAGTGTTACTTCTGACTTAAGTCATATGTACCATGATTTATTTAATTTTTGCATTTTTTTAAGCTTGAACCCCTCAGCCCCCATTCATTGTTTAAGCACAGAAAAAAAGAAAAACATTCAATACAATTCTTCAAAATTTCTCCTTGGCATTTTATAGGTTTGGAACAACATAAGGGTGAGAGTAAATGATGGCTGTTTAGATTTTTGTGGTGTGTAATATTCCTTTAACTTGACTAGATCAATGTATACTGCAAAAACGACCATGCAACCACAGAGGAATGATTTGTGCCCTGCACCTTCATTTAACCGAAAGGATGAAGCAATCAGACGGCAGGCAGTCAGGTAGCCTGAGAGCCCAGTCAATGTAACGCTCATTTCACACCCAGTCACACACACTACATCACCTCATGCACTCCCTCCACTCTCAGGTTGTGGGCTTTGGGTGAGAGAGACAGAGATTGAAATCGAGCAAGAAAATAAAAAGAAATGAGAGGAAGAAATTGGAAGAGAAAGGTAAGGTGGAGGACAGACCAACTTTTGAGTATGGGTGGGAATCTTCAGGCACCTCAGGATATGATTTGATTTTGTTTCAGGGAGTCACATATGATTGCAAAATAATTCTCAATACATCAAAAAAATTTAGCCGAAGCGTAGCGGCACAAATCTTTGGGGAGTTAAGGTGGCCTATTGCCAAATTATGTGTAAATATTTCATGTATAAAACATTTGCCTGCTCAGACCCACCAATTAAACATGTTAACTCTTGTTTAGCTTTCATTTGTACACAATACACATATTGCAATTCCGCATTAGAGAAACCTTAAAGAGCATGAATATTGTTTTCTGTGGTTGTATATGAAAAAAGAACCACTTCCTACAAGATTATTAATTTAAAATTTCAACAGATCCAGGATCATGATGTTAATCATCTGTTAAATTTTTTCCCTATATCCCTACTTTTGAAGGCGCTTATTCACATACACACACACACACACACTCACCATGGGCGAGCGTCCGTAGGCAGCAGCAGCGGCCGCACTCATCTGAGGAGAGATGTGAAGGCCGGCATAGACTCCAGGGCTGGTCAGAGAACCATTCATTTCATGGTGGCTCATCATGGCAAAGGGAGTTGGGTAAGAGAGGGGGGTGCGCAGAGCAGGGGCGGCTGCAAGCACAGAGACACACAGCCAATCATAAATCAGTATCAGTCAACCGCGGGGAAAGGAGCTGAACTCGGGAACAGGGAGATAAATCTCAATCAAATACCTGCCTACACTGAGTTGCTTCAAAGACTAGTTTTACGAAAACTGCTTTAAGCTCTGTTAAAAAGGCAAGCCTAAAAATTTGCTGAAGCTTTGGATTATTTCCATATGCAAAGAACTCTCTTTTGGTTACAAAAGTGGCTCAATAGTGTTTGTGTTGTACGATGCGGGAGGCGACAGTATAGAGTGAAACAACACCTCTGAGGACATTGATTATGAACTCACTTAGAACTTCCATCGGAGCTTTGCCCAGGATGGGCCGCAGCCCTGGGGTGGTGCTGGTACCCGGGGTGGGGGCATCATTACGAGGCGTGGGGGTGTTGGACTTGAGACCGGGCGTGGAGGATTTGTCATTCTGCAGATGTGAGAGAAGAGAGGGAGGAGAAGGGAGAAAGAGAGAGATAGAGAAAACAGAGTTAAAATCCCCCAAACGAGGCAGCATCCAGGCAGAAGATTTAAGTGCCGCCAGAACCTAATCCAATCCAATTCTGACAAACTCACTACTCCTACGAAACTATAAACCCTGCTATTTATCCCCAAACCCATTACTGCTACAATGGAGATGAGGCTCGTTTTATCCTTCCCTCGCTTCTCCCTCTAATCTTTTTTTTTTGATGCAGAGGCCCAGAATGGTTAAACGCATTGAGTTATTAGCAGGGAAGACACGACTGATCCAGCTATGGGAATGCATTATCCCTGACATTTACAGATGTATTTAAAGCTGAGGCTGGGAAACAGACATTCACTCCTGAGCCATTAGAGAGAGTGGAAGATCACAGGGCGTTCAGGCTTCCCTAGCTGCCCCCTCCCATCAAACATATCCTATAATTCTGCTTCAGTGGCACAGACCCATATTCTATCAAATCTTGCAGTGCTACCAATTATTACAGTATAAAAATCCAGATAGAGCTGATACACATAAATGCAGCATTCTGTATTAAATGTAGCCAAATGTGCGTGTGTGACAGTGTGAGAGAGAGATCCGTACATGGCCATGCTCCTTGTTTTTAGAGGAGGGGGTGCTGCCGGAAGAGGCCACAGAGGCGGGGCTGTTGGGCGTATCCTTCTTTGCTGGGCGGGGCTTATCGATGCCGTTCTCAGGAGGGGAGTGGGCAGGGCTGCCTCTGGGTGTGGCAGGGTCCTAGAGCGCAAATATATGACAGGAAGGAGTTAAATAAAAGACCATATATGCAAGGAATAATTGATGACATTTCATTTGAATTAATGAAAATAAAAGCACAAATTACATTTTAAAATATGCATTCAATTTCTAATAACTTGTCAGTCCCAACATAAAATATGTTTTTCACCTCGTTGGAAACATCAACCACCAGATCATCACTTTTGTCTCCGTCACTGTCCTGAAAACACAATGCGTCAACTGGTTAGCATCCCTAGCATTTTGTTACACAAGAATCTTTTATTGGAGGTTCAGGTCACATCACTCACATATCGGCTCATGCTGTCCTTGTCCTCAACTTTGCGTTTCTTGGAGTCCAAGCTGTAATCGGAGGAGCCACGGTGTTTCTCGCTGGTTGTGCGCAGGCTGTCTGATGGAGAGATGGAGTTGTTCTGAGGGGGAGATAGAGGGGAAATGTGTGTCATCAGACTGCAGACTTTAATTCAACTCATTTATCTCTACATGCAGATCTGCAGGTGGTTTCCACTGTTTTCCACTGTCACAAGACCTCTAAATTGCTTTCACAATAGCCTAAAAAGGACCAATCAACCCCTTTCAGCACAGTAAAAAAATAGTAAATAGTTAAAATAGTTTTTATCCAAACCCTGACTCAAGTTAATTTCTGGTTTTATGTAATGCGACAAATTATTTGAGTTTAGAGCCAAAAACTATTACAATGACAGGTACTTCACAGCTGTCGGATCTGAAGGAGATCCAAGCTCGGAAATCAACAGCAAGGAGAGAGAAAAAAAAAAAGAGGAGTTATTACTCCAAAACCGCACACTTAAAAAGCCAAAAGCGATTTATTCATTCTAGCTATCCAACTCGAATGCCCAAAACAGGCCTAACATAATATAGTGAGACTCGCCAAGCTGTATCTAACAACCCACAGTAGACTAAACACAGAAAAATGTGCTGGCTGCACTACACAGTAGAGACAGTTAACCAGAGCAAAGAAGGGCTTGTTTTTACATTCCCCTACTGCCCTCCCTTCATTCACCCACCTCAATCCCTCCATCTTCTAAAAGACGCAACAAACAGCTTCAGGAAGACCTGAGCAGCATGTTAGTGTCGAACAACGGCCCATTATCTGCGAGAAGTCCAACTCGCGCTGTGTGTGTGGGAGCATGTAATAGCATTGATCACCTAGTACCCTTCCCTCAGCACACTGTGGGCCTGCGGTGACTGCAGGGCAGAAAAATGGAAAAGGGGACTTACATCCTGGACCTGGGTGTTACATTAGACTGCAACCTGTCTTTTGAAAAGCATATTTCATATGTTACAAAAACAGCCTTTTTCCACCTTAGAAACATTGCTAAGCTACGTAATATGCTATCAGTCTCTGATGCAGAAAAGTTAGTTCATGCATTCATGACCTCGAGACTTGATTACTGTAATGCTTTTATTAACTGGTTGTCCTGCATCTTCAATAAACAAGCTACAGTTAGTCCAAAATGCAGCCGTGAGAGTTCTTACTAGATCAAGAAAATATGATCATATAACACCGATTCTATCATCACTTCATTGGTGACCTATAAAGTTCCGTATTAATTACAACGTATTGCTTTTGACTTATAAAGCTCTAAATGGTTTAGCTCCAGTCTATTTAACGGATCTTCTATCGCCCTATAATCCATCGCGCTCTTTAAGATCACTAAATTCGAGGCTTCTGGTCATTCCTTGGATATTCAGATCCACCAAAGGAGGGAGAGCATTTTCACATTTAGCTCCGAAGCTCTGGAATAGCCTTCCTGATATTGTTCGTTGCTCAGACTCGCTCTCCCAGTGTAAAACTAGACTAAAGACGCATCTATTTAGCCAGGCATTCATATAAATTTATCTTACAGTTACTGTAAATTCGGCCTCTACTTCATAAACGCCAGAGGAGAACTGGCCCCGACTGAGCCTGGGTTCTCCCAAGGTTTTTTTTTTCTCCATTGGGTCATCTGATGGAGTTTTTCGGTTCCTTGCCACTGTTGCCTTTGGCTTGCTCAGTTGGGGATATTCAAATTAAATGACCCATCATTCCACTGATCAGCTCTGCCAAACTTGGATGTCTTTTTCCAGTAATAAACAAACACTTAAGTTGTTTTGATTGATACTGTGAAGCAGCTTTGATACAATCTGCATTGTGAAAAGCGCTATATAAATATATTTGACTTGACTTGACATCCTTAGGAAATGGTGGATGACTCTGCTTGAGGCCACCGCCCATACTCACAATAATGTGCTGTAAAAGTATTTCATGAATTCATAGTCTTTAGCAAGCATGCTCCATATGCAACAGGACTTTGAGTGCTCTCTGGGCACTTTCTCAAAACAATCCCTTCTCCTAGAGCTTTACTCATCCTGTCCCAAGAGCCTTCACTCAGTGTGAGGCAACAAGATTCACAAGGGAAAATGTGGCCAGATCACTGGAAGCGTAAAAGGATTCAGCTGAGAAGATGAAGTAGCAGACTGGGCCGAACGCCCAATAGTCTCTGTTTCTCTCGCTCACTTTGCATGATGTCTGACCTTCTAAAGAGATGCTTAGCGTGACTCATTAAGGAGAGTCACCAGCGTGCTATCAGATGACCTTAGACAACGGCAGCAGCGAACTCACAACAGCGCATGGACTGCTAACCGCCAGAGGAGCTCCCCTTCCTTCAGACATGACTGCACCCATTCAGGCCTCGCCGGGCCAGCAGAAACCCAATCTCACGGCCACAATCAGCCATCAGAGAGATTTAAACCCCGTCGAATAAATGCCTTTTACAAGGGCACAGAGATGAGAGGGAGGAAAACAATTCCCGCGCCTGTGCTCATACATATTTATCACGCTAGCAAAAGAGAGCGGAGAGGGGCGGTAAACAAGTGGAGATAGCAGAGGGGTGGGTAGGAGGGGAGAGGGATAAAATAAATCCCACAAAGGAGGGAGGGAGTCGACGTCGTCTTTAATTGTGATGAAATTATAGAGCCGCGCTAATCTGCGCGCTGTAATACGAGTCATTTCCCATCTGCGGAGAGATGTGAGTGCTTATTTCATAAAAAGCTTGTTTCTCTATTAGTCATTTTAATGAACGCAGATTACCATTTCGTGCACGAGTTGCGTGTGCTTCAGGATGAAGGATCTTACTTGACATTTACATTAATAGAAATTTTCTTAGGCATGAAATGGGCCAAGAGGTGGTATTCACCCAGTACAACTAAGACATATTTGCTCCGTTTCAAAACCTAGTGAGCCGCCTATGGAGGCAACATTAAGGTATCATTTAAGGAGTGCTCCTGACATGAAGGCTGTTCAAAACACTATGCAACTTAATTATGTTGCTTTTCGACACTTTGTAAATAAAATCATAACGGCGGAAAAATGTATTTCATAATGTTTAAAGTATTATATATATATCGTATTCCATACAGAAAAGCACGGATAAAAACAGCTAAAAATACTTTTTAAAAATACAAATAGATTATTTTATCCAATGTTTAGCAACATGCTAACTTCCAAAATTTACTGAAATCAACAGTCTCAAATCTCATGTGCAGAGTTGCTGCCTGTGTAGGCAGCTCAGTAGGTTTTGGAAGAAAGCTATTAAGACAGAAATCGAAGAGGAAACCTGAGGCAACAAGAAACCTGAGACTCACCGTGCTCTCTGTAGTCAGCAGACCCCGGTTGGCGTTGAAAGACAGGCAGAACGGCAAAACAAAACAGAGATAAACAAAAGTCAATTACCCTGACCGACTGACAATCAGAGTTAAGAGAGGATTTCATCAGCAGGCAGAATATGTCTGTTATGTACACAATACAGCTAGCAAACCATTAGCATGTGTCCTTTATTAACCTTGGCCAATCATTCAAGCCACAGAGTGTGTCATGTGTATGTTCAATCGCTTTATACACACTCGGTTCTTCTCTGAAAATAGGCTAAATCCTTAAATGGCAAGCCATGAGAGTAGTGTACTAAAAAAGAAAACCTAAGGAGGTCAATAATGTCAGCAGCACTATAAGAGCTGTAATAATTATTGAAGAGGAGGGTGTTACGAAACAAGCGTTTGATTCACACAAGAGTTCTGTATGGCTGAACAACTAATGTTCCACTCTCTTAGCTTTAAATGAGAGCAGTGTGGGAGTCTGCTCCTTACCTCGGTGCTCCAGGTCATGGTGGTTTTTTTCATCCTTCACCGGCAAGTGTGGCTGACTTCCCAAGGCTCCCAGAGCCAGCAGGCCCGAGCCAGAGCCGGTGACTGGTGGGATTCCTGGTGGCTGAAGGCCAGAAGGGTGGGGAGGTAAAGCCACAGGGCCGTGGGCAGCATGAGAGAGGTGCTGGGCCTGGAGTTGCTGCTGCTGCGGAGAGACAGACAACAGAGTGGGCAAGAGGGAAAAAAGTAAAGAAATCTATGCCACAATCAAAACACACTGCTTCTGTGAGGTCAATTCAGAAGCACAGGCAGGGGTCCTGGGATGTTTACATCCTCACATGCTTGCAAGTCATATTTGAGGATCCTGCAAACAACCCCATCTTTATGTAGATTGGATCTTAACCTGAAAATATAAAATATTGCAATGTCGTGCACCTAGTGACTTCACGTTTCAGGTTCCCAGCTCAAATGTAACAAAATCTGTGAAATATCATACGAAAAAGCATGCAAATTCACTCAAATAATAAAACTCTTACACTCACGGTACTCTCCAAAAGAGTCGTCAAGCCCTATTTAAGATAGTTTAAAGACAGCAGGCGTTGCAATGCTGTCAGCTCATTGGCTTAACACCACCTGCTCCTTAGCCCCATCAAAACGCTGGACGGCTATATTTACTTCCCTCACATTTGGGTCTGGTTATTGCACAAAGTATGAGTCACTCAAGAAAACCAAACTTTAAACACCACTCTAACAGCAGCTGGGCCCCGCTTTTGTGTGTGTGTGCGCGTTGAGCGGCTGCGGCAACGGCGGCCAAGAACGAGGGGTCCTGTTCTGGCACGCGTTCAGGCCTCCAATACCTCCATCAATATTTGAAAAGCTTGGAGGAAACTGACGAGAGTTAAAAACCACTCAGCATGGGAAGCGAGCAGTTTAAAGCAAGGTTAAATAATACTTAGCAGAGCCACCAATAAAGAAAAAAACAACAACAAAAAGCCCAGCCTACACAATTTATTAGCATCCACAGGAAGAATGAATTATTTAAATGGCTGTTAGAGCACATACCGCCCAACTCTGTACAGACCTCACCATTCAATCAATGACCATATACGGTCATTCTTCAAGAATCCTGTTTTTTTTTTTTGGCTTGACTTAGAAAGGGTAGATGTTATTGGCTATGTACGGCGATCACGGTGGTACAACCTTTCAGAATTATCAGCAGGTCATTAATGCCATGCCATAAGTAAATATCAATACTAAAGGCTTATTTATAAGTCTGGAATGCTCCAAAAGCTTGCCCTTTTCCAGTGGGTAAATCATTATTAAGATGTCCATCACAGGCCCTTATTCGCGGTGAGTATAATTGCTAACAGCTTTGTGGATTATTTGCACAGCTGGCTGTATATTGAGACTCGGGCCTTTGAGATTGGCAGAAGAGCGAATGGTATATAGAAGAGCTCTGCTTGGGATTTGAACCTGCAACCTTACCCTCCCCAACACAACAGAGCTGCCAAGCCAATTATGAGCTGAGCCTCAGAGTGTGGATCTGTGAGGAGATGTGATAAGGAAGTGTGTGTGTGTGAGGTGTGTGTGTACCGTGGCACTGAGCGTGGGTGGTGGGTGCATGTTCTTGAAGAGAGAGTGAAAGGGCAGGAGAAAATAAGAGAGATAGTGAGACAAGAGTGGAAGTGAGTGATTGTAAGAGAGAAACAGTCTAGGTGCTAGGGTGTCATGTCAGGAAGTGAGGTGAACCGCTAGTGAAAAGGGTGGGGGGGGCGAGTGTGGCTTCAGAGATGATGACTGACCACATGGGAAATTAAAGAAGCCGTTGATTCATGGGGGAGAACCCTCCCTGCTCATTCCAGCTAATGAGCCACTGATGTGTAATATGCATGGACAATAAGAGAACCCTCATTAGAGACCCGGCTATGAAGACAAGAAAATAAAGAAATAAAATGTCTCCAGTAATTTAATATTCCTGCATAAAGACCGTCTCAACTGGTGCTAATCTCTCCCTCTTACAGCAAAACAATGAATCTAGGGCCAGTGTGAACAATTAACAATGGACATATAAAAAGATAAGTGGCTAAATCAGACAAGCGCCTGTTTCTATTCTCAGGTGTGTATGTTAAACAACCCCATCCTGAGTTTAGTGCTGTAACCACGCAACATGCAGGCCTGAGGGGATTCAAAAACATAAAGCCCCATGATTCACCCTCTCGGCCACAAACACACTTAATTGGGCCCACAGCACAGATGGAGTAGTCTTAATAGAGAACTATCCATACATCCCCAGCAGATGACTGCCCACTGCATCGAGCTGGGCAATAGCCTATAGCTAAAACAATGATATCTTTATTTAATTTTTTGCCTTTGGACAACATTCCATAGATATATCTATATTACATATGTATATTTTAGTTTTGAAAAGGCTGATTCCTCTTTTAATTAGATGAATCAACATTGACCAAGCAGCCAATTAAATTGGCTAAAATGTATAATGCAAGAAGTAAAATACAGTACAAATTTAGGCCTAGTTAAAATAACCAATGCATGTTTTCCACTAAATAAACAGAAGGAAAAAATATAGCCCATTTATTTTTTATTTATATGCACCAATGCAACAGTAGTACATCGTAGAAAAGAAAATTCACTAAATCATTTCACAAATAGTTGAATTGGAGCACTAAATCATTTAATTGAATATGACAATTTCAACTGATTCCCGGAAATAAATCAAACGTACCACTTCTAATGCAATATATACTTAAGTCTAGTCAAGTGTCAATCAAAGACGCTATTAAAGTCACAAGACAAGGAAGGATCGCAAAATAGTCTAATGACATGCTCTTTTGAAAACCTAATGAATAAATAAGCATGTTAAAATCAACATAAAACTAAGCAGCTTAGTTTTAAACACCCAGCAAATTGTGAATATTTAATATATTGCCAAGACCTACCACTACAAGCGTCAAACTCAACCACAGCCTATAAACTCCTGACAACCAGACCAGTCCAAACAAAACAGAGAGGAAGTTAAGCATAGGGAGAAAGAACTGAGAACAATATAAAATGTGTATATAAATACTTATGCTTTTTGTTTTTTTAAATAATTTTTTTTTTTTTTAAATTGTAGATAAACACACACTGTTGGTGAGGGCAGAAATGCTGAGCTGCCAGAGGAGGCCATCTTAAGACCTCTGATCAAAGTCAAAGCACAGCAGAAAAAAAAAAAGCTGCTGCCCTAGATGCATCCTATTACCAGCCCTGAGGTTCATCAATAAGAGATGCTGGTGGTTTTTGCTCTGAGAGAGAGAGAGAGAGAGAGAGAGAGAGAGAGAGAGAGAGAGAGAGAGAGAGAGAGAGAGAGAGAGAGAGAGAGAGAGAGAGAGAGAGAGAGAGAGAGAGAGAGAGAGAGAGAGAGAGAGAGGAGTGAGAGTGTGTGTGTGTACGTGTAGCTCACATCTCACCTTTGCCTTATACTATTTATGAGTCTATGGCACCTGCGTGAGTGCACACATACTGCCTACTACTGTGTGAATTACAAATACCCCCCTACACAAAGAAAAAACTCTCCGCCAAGCAAGTATGTTTCCTGCTTTTCAAGTTTTTGATGAGTTCTAAAAGATTAAGTCATTAAAGTTGGTCTGCTGTAATATAACATCAAAGCTATCAGACGGTGATCCTTCCTGGAGATAACGTGGCATTTAAGAGCGACCACATGACTGCCCCGTTCAGACTTGATTCCTGGAATTATCTCTGAGTAAGTGTCAATGCTCAGGATCTAATTGAATTCCAATATCAGACAACACAAATCCACCCTCAAACCTTCACCCCATGATTATCAGATTCTTCAGCTGTAGAGCAAATCTAAAGGCGGCGAATCAAAGCAGGCTCAGATCAGAGCAAGCCTTACTTCTGGATGTACAGGGGTCAGATTTGTTTTTCCCTACATGTTGATAGGGATCTGGGTCACTTGCCCCTGATCAATAAGTGACATTTAGAAGGGAGTTGTGGGCAATTCTAGGAAAAAAAACTGCTGTAGTAGCTCAGGGATATGTGTGCAAGATCCTATTTGTCTTTAATTCCCAGCACAATCCAGGTCAGCAGAGAGGAATGAGCCTCTCTTGTAAAACCTGATCTAATTAAAGGTATCCAGCCTCTAATGCTCAAAGAGAGCTCTGAACAGCTTCTAGATGCAAACTCAGGGGACAGAGGACACTAAGAACACTCATGCCACATATAGAGTAGACTAAATAAAGCTTGGTCAACAGTGTCCGGCTGTACATTAGAGAAACAATAATGCCACTATGAGCTAATGGGTAAAGAAAAGTGAGACATAATCAGAGATTGTGCTGCAAATAATCATTATACATCCCTTTAATAGACTGGGTTGTAAATTTTCTATCAATCTCTTTTTTTAATCAGTAAAATATTGTAAATTCGGTTTATGACAGAAAGTTTATAGTTAACGCCAACTCTGACCCTAATATACCTATAAAAGCATCCACTTCCTCACTCAATCCACAAATACATTTTAATCAGATTAAGCACACAGTATGCATGTACAAATCTTTAAAACATTAAAAAGGCATTCATTGTAGGGGCAAACCTGCACATGATTAAAATAAGCTACTAATTCCAAAATTAATCGTTAAATCAGTTAATAGGGTTATTTTGCATCTACAACAGTGCAGGTTTACCCCGTTCTTAAGGTCAAATAAAGTAATTAAAGAGGTATACACACGGTGAGAGGCAGATTGGGAAGTCCACGTACCCCGATGATAGCATTTAGTTCAGTCATTGTCACTTGCTTTGCACGTTCAACAGCTTGTGCTACTTGCTGTTGGTGCTGCAAGAGGGAGAGAAAATCTGATTAAATTCAGAGTCAAAGCAAATTCAAACATCTAAAAGTTCTTAAATAATAAAAAACAGTGCAACTTAGGACAAAAGATATGGTTTAAATTTTTTATAAAGCTCAAAACACTACATCTAAAACTAAAATGAAGCTATAATTCAAATAAAACTCACCTCTTGTGACAGAAAAGGCATAATCTGGGCTAGAATAGCATTGAGCCTTTTGGCAATCTCAGTCTGGAAGAGGAAAAGAAAGAGGAAAAAGTTAAAAAAAGGGTTAATTTACTTCTGCTAAAGTGCACCACTAAGCCTTTTTTAGCGTTTCCCAACGATTAAGCCAATTACCACGGCAATCAGAACCGCTTGACTCGGCACACTCCAAACTGCGTGATATTGACATGTGAAATATTTAAAACATTATGAGAGCCCAGGGGAGAGAGAGAGAGCACAGCTGCGATGAGTGTATACTCCAAACCACACGAAGAACGAGCCAGATACACTGGAGCTGTTAAGAGTAGCACTGTACTTCAGCTGCCATCAGCCTGCAGGTACATTCTACTAGCACACAAAACTTTCCTTTGCACTCTGAACTTCACATTTTCACCTCTACCATTATCACCACTGATTTATAATTGCACTAAAAAGAAAAGCTTGCAGAAGTTGATTCCGTTCATTTTACATGTCTCCACAACAAAATGACTGCCAACTCCTGTTGTTTAGCAGATGTTAAATAATGCAGACAGTCCCTGAGGGCATGTTGGAAGCAGACGAATGTGATAAAAGACTTAAGGGCTGACCACAAAAAAGCTGTTTTATAAATCCCAAATTTATGAATTTCCACCATCCAAAAATTGAAACACACAGTCAAGCAGCATTCAGAGCCAAAAGATTTTGAGCATCTTTGTTGTTTCAGTGCTTTTACAATAATTAAAAAAATTACTACAACCAAGTAGTAAAAAATAAAACCGAACACACATTTAATCACAGCATATTCATTTAAAGCTGAACACGTTCAGAAATTTGGCCCAAATGTCTGTAGGAATACTGACACCTTAAAATTTGCATTCCGATGAGCCTTTACAACAGCACAGAAATTGTTCACATCACAATAACGTGTCTAATGAACAAAGGTGGATTACGTCCAGACCTGTCAGGAGCTGAGGCCTATTTTGCCTTCTCCAGACCCCACCTTTTTCATTTTCTCAGCAACCCACCCCCAAGTCCCCCCTTCATCTAGCCCACCGCAGGGACCCGACCTTCATTCTCTCTCCACCCGCCTGACCGTTGCCATGGCAACTGTAGCCGAGCAGGCCCCGTCTCCTATCGCGCGCCGATCATTATGCAAATGGTACCTCAGCTTGACCGTAACAGCCTGTAAAATCATATTACGTGCACACAGGCAGGTCATTAAATTGAATTTTCGGCCTGTCGATCGGCTGAGTACCGCACACGAATGGTGGATAAAAAGGCGAGCAATAGCGGAGGATGATGTGGGGTCGTTGTGAGAACACATGACAGTAAAAGGAGGGGTGGGGGCAAAGCCAGGGCTCTCCACCCAAAGGCTACATGCAGCTACAGTAGGATGTACTCCATCCCTTTTCCTTTCCATCATCAGACGCCAGCAGGAACACAGCACGGCCGACATCACAGCCTCTTCCACTGATGAAAGGAGCTCACATCACAGGTCTGGCACTGGCTTTGACTGAGACCAAAGGACAGGGGGAGGAAAGCCTCTGAAAAATAACTCGGCTACAGATACATCTATAGAATTTATGAGGCTCAGTTCAACCCAGGGCCAGAACGGAGCACAAACACATCACAGGGATTTCAGCTCTATTTTTCATTTCCATGGCAAACACGCAGCAACTGCGCCGACCAGGAAATTATTTATAACATATTGCCGAAAATGCCAAGCGGTTGCAGAATCCAGACACAATATTTTTTTACAAGATACTCTGTAACACCCAAGAAAGTTTTGCTCCCTCCCTATGTATGTCGGGACAAGCTATAGTGGAAATATAGAATAAACCATGCACGCTATTAAAAAAATACTATAACCAACCATATACAAATGAATCGCTCAGCACAATCTGAGATTATGTACATTAGTCCATTTCAAAAGCATGATGCTACATCAAAATATCTGACATTTAGAAATGCGCAACATAATTTTGCCCATATTGCTGTTAGTAAATAGAAGTACTTTTTTGTTTAAGTGCTTGATGCTTGCAAAGTATAAAATTGTAAATCTGAAACAGGTTAGAATGACAATACTCATACATGTATGAAATATAATAATAAAATACAAATACAAATAAATACATTAAAAACACTATATGTTGTGCCTCCCTAAACCAGCTTTACACATTCTCAAAAGCTATAGTCAAACTTTGTGTGACAAGCAGGGTCCAAGTTCAGCTTTTAGACACCCTACTATACTCTGGAAAAAAATTACTAGAAGAACGCATCAACAAAATGCTGGTTGAAAAGCCAGCTCAGTGTATAATCCTTATTTGCCAAGATAAACCGCGTCAATAGCAGCCTAACATTTGACAGGATTTGCTGAGAGGCCTGGAGAGCATCGAACACATTCCTTAAGGGCTTAACGCGACGTTGACAGCTGGCCGAGTGAGGTCAAGGGTTGCCTTATCTGACACTCACTCTAAAGCTTCATGCTTTATCTTGCAAAAACAATCCCGCTGTCGGGGGAAAACATGTCCGACGGCAGTGATGTACGTAAAAAGTTGGCATGCACTCTGTGCGTAATATATGAATCTATGATGAAAGCAGTGCTGGGCATTGAGCTGGACAAGCAGAGCTTTTAGCTACAACTGCGGATAAAAATAGGATGTCACTTTAAGCAGATGAAAGCCTGCCTCTTAAGTGGCGAGCTTCACGCTCTGGTACACAATTACAGGTACTCGGACCTGTCTAGCACCATTTCAAGAGCACTCCAGGGCCAGGCTGTCAATGGCGTGCTGAAAGCTATTTGTCTGTTGCCATCAGCGCCAGCGGAATGGAGTGAGACGCTGATGAGCATTGAATATAGAGGAAAACAACTGGCCCTTCCAGGCATGTGTCTCCATCACAAACAATACTTGACCTAGCCAGGTTGATGGGCCCCCTGTATTCTGCCAGGGTGAGAGGGTGGTAATGCTCTCCGACAGCCTCATGCTCAGTAGTAAAGGTATAACAAGATCTATATATGTGTGTGGCGGAGGTGAGAGCACAAGCTTAACAGGGTTGTTAACTTGCAGCACTGTTGAGAACTGGCATTAAAATTTACCTGCATTGATCGACATTAGTGGAGCTGGGCTGTAGGTCTGCACGGGTGGATAGCTTGAGTTTTCAATTGTTGTTTTTTTTGCTTGTCTCTCACATACTCAGCCTCTGTAAATAGCCGTGCTCTATTATGCATGTGTTTGGAGAGTCATTGTACAGGTTCACCTGGTTTCATGACCCAACCACCATAAACAGTATGACGGAGCAGGCCTGTGTTTCCCAATCCTCCCACCTCTTTATCAGAGGCTTTGTGTACTCATCTCACTGAGCCAGTCAGTTTGCTTTGGCTCACATAGAGAAGGACAATCCAGCAGTTAGCAAACACTTCCTAGGGCACCCCTTATAAATCATTTATCAGCGTCCCCATGTCAAGCCGGGCCTGACTGCCACAATCTGGGTTTGACAGCAAGGAGAGGGGAGGAGATTCCCTCTGAGTCTTACACCAGGTGAGAAAAACTCACAAAATAAGCTACGCTGTGAGTGCACCTCAGTCATCACAGCGGCTCATTGACATGGAGCTGCAGCTGCCATTACAGCTGCATTTCCTCCCTCACTATGGCTGTCTGCAGGTATCAGACGCTAGCGTGCATCCTGAAATCCGCATTATGCCGCGACTGTTTAAAATACAAAGTGCCTAGAGACGACCGAATGGATGAGGAAACGGATTGCCTAGCGGTCAGAATTAAATCCTCAGTGCTGAGAATAATGCGGCAATCTACGCTACCTCGGTTGGTTAACCACCCCCCGCCTGGCATCCGCTCCTGGGTTCTAACCCAGATCAACAGACCTGGATAAAAGGGTGGGATCTGTCTGTTTGCTTATGAACAGCATTACCTCCCTCCTCTTTAGCAGGTTAGACTCAGCGTAGGATGAATAATTCAATAGTGCATCCATGGGCTCTGTGGCGGTTCCTGATAAAAGTCAAGGCGCTAAAATGGATCAGTCGATTAACCCGTTTACACAAGGCCAGCTCTCCCACCTTATACTCCTATTCTCTCACTCTTCTGTCCCTCAGCTACCAGTTGGGAGATAAGTGGTTAACAGGAGGCATCGCAGGGGCAAGGGCCCTGACAGACAGAGGAGAGCAGAGACTCACACTGTGGACACTGATGGATCGCCATCCACAAGCTCCTCCCTGATGCCATTAACCTTCATAAGGTGGAGAAGGGGAGCAGGCGGAGGAAGCTGGGTTGCCTCTTAGGTGGCCTAACTACATCTGGTGCACAGCACAATCTCATTATTATCTAGGGGACAGGACATGTACGACGCATCACAATAATGCCAAGAAATGTCAGATTAATCTTTGCAAATACGGTGGAAGAGTCACCTAAATTTGAAGTATAACTTTGTAGTAAGGTGGATAAAAAATAGGAAATAAACAACTGATTTATAAAAACAATAGTTGATATCAATATGAAAACAGTCACTTAGTCAGTTCTTATCCTGTGCACAGATAACATTTGTTAGTGATGTCACTTTGCAACAGGAAAAAAAAATTCTGTAGGGAATTTTTTTTTTAAATGGCAGAGGAGGGGGAAAAAGGTCACAACACAATTTGCCCAATGCTTCAAAAAAGGTCATAATAGGTCATATAGTTTCATGTGGCCATGATGCTGGCTTCAGGCGCTTATTGAAAAAGATATGGAATATATGTTCAAATCAGAGATATAAATGACCAATTATCCAATTATTAAAATGAATGTTAGTTGCAGCCCTAGAGAAAATGCAGGGTAAGAATTGATTGGAGGGGATCAATTCATGGCAGTCTGTTTTTCCCTTAGCATTAATTTATAAAGGGTGCCTTAAATGTGCTGACATAATAGGGACTCCGCAGACTCTGCTCCCTTTAGTCATTAAATCAAACGGCCCCTCCTGCCAAAGTCCTGACTTTAATCTTATCAAGGATGTCTGACCACACTCTACACGGCACAAGCAGGAAAAGAGACGTGACTGTGTGTGTGCTTGTAATGTCCTGACTTCTAGCTTATACTGACGGCTGCTCAAAAGAACACAGTCTACAGTCTCTCTCTCATCATCTCTAAGGAGTGCACTTCACTTGTCTCCTAACACACCGGTGTGACTGCATTGACTGACGTCTACACACACAGTGCATGGATCCTCTGTGACTCAAAGATTGTGTGAACACGGATCAAAGGGCTACATACCTGTTTGTGCATTTCAATGTTCAGCCCATAGGACATCTCATAGTACTGAAAGAAAGAGAAATGAAAAATACTCAGGTTTTTTTTTTATTCAATCCGAGGCACATCAAACATTTTCACCTCACATCAGAGAGTAGAGAAAAGAAAGTCAGATTCTAGTGAAACATGAGGGGAAAAGAGGAGAACAGGCTTTTGCTGCGCACTTCAAAATCATGTCCCATAACAGCCTCTCATTTCTGCACAGTTTTTTTTTCTCTAAATTATAACGATAAAAAGTTTACAATGGAAATCCCACTTGGTTTTGAGGTCAGAGTTCCCATACGTCCTGACCAATAAAATACTATATTTACCATAAATCTTTTTATGGGAAAAATAGTATTTTATTGGTCAAAAGTTATGGGAACTCTGACCTCAAAACCAAGTGGGATTTTCATTGTTTCCAAAAATTTTATTCAAGCTACTACCACTAATTTCCACTAATATTTTATCAATTTCATGACTGAAAGTGACAATTTTTGAATTTTGACTCTGGTAAACCTGTTCATATAATCAAAGTTTAAACCATATTAAATTTTTTGTTTTTTTAAACGCCTCACCTTGTTCTAGCAAAACCTAGAAAATAAATAATAATAATAATAATAAAAAGAAAGATTTAAAAACACCCTGATCCCTCTGCAAGTCTAGATTTTGACACTATCAGCTCAAACAGTCAGCATGGGGATTCTACATGGTGTTTACCTAACCTCTCCTCCTCCTCTTTCTGACTGACATGCTTTTTCCTGTGAATGGAATGTTTAACTAGCGTCCCTGGGTATTGGTTAAAGTCATTGCTCGCATGTTTACACAAGATAAGAGAATACACTTCCACAGTTTAACCTTGTTTAGTTACACCACGAAAAGCTTTGTTTTTCCTCTCCCTATCATAAATCCTAACATGAGGCTGTTTTGATCTCCTGAATGTCTACGATTGAATTCAGGGCTTTGGCGTTGTGTAAATGATTAAGCCCGTGATTAAGATTAACACTGAATTTATGTAGCCGTTTGTTTGTGCATAAAATCTTGTAATCAAAGACGGAACGCTGCAGAGACTTTGGATTTCTGTTGCGATCTAGTATTTTCCCACAGACGCCTCTGGCACTCCTCCATCACCCCTCACCCAATTTACAGCCATGCATTTGTCTGAGAGCAGCGTCTCCTTGGAGAATAATCAGATCCACACACAGAGGGAGGTAGAGAGAAGGGGGAGAGAAAAGGGGGAGAGAGAAGAGGGGACAATGCTGTGGTCATTGACCCCTACGGTTAAGGGTTGGTGTATGAAAGGGCCCGAGGCTAAGAGCAGTCAGTCAGGGCCCTTTAATAAAGCAGGAGGCTGAACTAAAAGCACCAGAGGGGGTTTCACAAACACATTCTAAAACACACACATACAGAGAGACACGCAACAAGGCATCTGCCTTCACCCCAGCTACTAGTAATGGCAGCTTACATATTGGCTAATCTTACCATGACATAATGGCGCTGCATCTCTGTCTTCTCATTGGCCAGTTTGTCGTACTCCACTTTAAGACTGGGATGAAAACAAAACAAATCAGCTACTGAACAAACATGTGTTTTCACTGCTTACACCCACAAAAATAATCCACAGTGCAAACATGAAGCTAAACAAATAAATTCACATTTTACAAGGCTTCATTTTAAAAGTAATAAAATCAATTTTAACACTTTAAATTAGGGACGCAACGATATTAAAATTCTGCTTAATGAAAATCATCATATTTTCATTTATGAACCATTATAATAATAATTTTCATATTATAACTGATAATAAAAACCTAAACTGTTTTTAAAGCAATAAGAGTAATCATAATATCACGAATAAATAAAATAACAATTTTGTCACTAAAGTGCTAAAATGAAGTCAGACATAATAATAAACAAAATTCACTAGAAAAAAAAGATGTCCTTATTGGGTAACACTTTACAATAAGGTTTCATTGGTTAACTACTTTAGTTAACATGAACTAAGAATGAACAATTGCTACTTCTACAGCATTTATTAATATTAATTCATGTTAATTTCAACATCTAATACATTATGGGAATCAAAAGTTGTTTTTGTTAACATTAGTTGATGCACTGTGAACTTACATGAACAAATTAATAAATACTGTAACAATTGTATTTCTCATTGTTAGTTAATACATTAACTAATGTTAACAAATGAGACCTTATTGTAAAGTGTTACGCATTATTGTACAAAAAAAATTGCGCTTTTATAGGATAAAACTTTGTTGTAATCAAGCACTATCACTTTAAATTAATATTAGATGACAGCTGCAGTAATCAAAAATCTAAAAACAGGCAGAAAAAACATCTACAATTAAATGTCCATAACATTAGCTAATAACCGATATGGTGCCCATACATCATGCACTTTTACCTCACATTTTTTACCATTAAGCACACTTTTTTTTTTTTACACAAATTAGATTTATTTTTCCTCCCTTTCGCCTGTGAAACACAATTAGGCCAAGCGGTAATTGTACAAGCTACTTTACAGGCATATAACTCTAAATTATTACCTGTGATACTGGGCTTGCAGGAACTGAAATTCGTCTTTGATCCTGTCACAGGACTCCGCCACTGTGAATTTGAAGCCTGGCTGACCAGGCTGGTGGGGCGCCTGAAAGACAGCCATCACATCAATCAAACTCAATTACATCCTCAGAGAACCAAATTTGTTTTCCACCGACTGCAGAGCGAGCCTCTAATGCATTCTGGGCCCTGGGAGAGCAGCTCTAATATTTCAGCCTGAATGAGGGCTGGGGGTGACATCCACGCTACAGTGACATCTGGGAGATAGCTGGAGCACCAGTAGCGCTCTGACAAAGGAGGCAGGGGGGGGGGGGGGGGGGATCTTAACAGTCCTGGGTCTGCCGTTTTAGTGCCTCACATAAACACCGGCGGGAGAAATGGGGTCGCCTCGCTTGGATAGGTCTGAGCGTGCCAAACTACGCCTGTTAAAAAGCTGTTGTTTTCAGCCTCTCTCTCTCTCTAAACCAGGTGCTTGTGGAAAAAACGTGAAAATGTACCTACTAGAGAACAAAGATGATTTCTTTACCATTCAACATCAACTACTTTATTGACAAGAGCCTTCAGAGGTTTTTACCCCACTTGATTGTGCTTCCAACCACCCTGCTCTTTCACTTCAAAGCATTATCACAGGCACCAGGGCTTAGCAAATCAAATGAAGGTGCACATCATGCACATCAGGATGTCGTTCGTCATGGACGGGCGGCTCTGCCCTTGCTCTCCAGCTAAACTGATGCAGATGTAGCAATTATGTTCCATATCAGTTCAAGATGCACTTACCGGATGCCGGCCCTGTGGATACATTTTGAAATGTATCCTTTATTTTTTGGAGGTCTATTGGGTGGGGGGTGTCCACTGGTACGCCACTGTACTGTAAAAATCAGCCGGACACGAAGCCAACTGGACGCTGGGGGCAAAAATCCTCTCAGACCTCTGTTGCTGGAACCCAAAACAATGAAAAATAAACAAACAAACGAGGAGGAGACCGTTACATTCAAACAGAGGTTAAAAATGACGGTTGGACATTTAAACTTGCGGTTGAGGCGAATTCTGTAAGATACGTATTTTCACCTGCACTTTGAAAACAACTCCGTTCATTGTGTCAGGGGAAAAAACTACACGCTCGAGCGAAACGACACATTCTCTACTATTGAAAAAAAAAACAGGAACATTGAGAAGAAATTTGGTGTTTTTCTTTGTTTGGCAACTGATATTTTGACAGGACCTCATCTAGCACTTCACATTGCTTGAAAGAAACCGAATAAGAAGCCCGTAAATGAGTCGACAAAGTGATAAGTGATGAGCTCAGTCAGTGTGTGAGTGTGAGAAGCGTTTCAAAGCTCGGTTGGTTGGATAACGAGCTATTGTCGTTAGCTAACCTGCTAGCCCACTGTACCTGTCTTTGTGCGCCCGAACTGCCGAATCACTTCCACTGTTCCACTTCTGAAATGTTAATCACGGCTTCAATATCTGAGAGAAAGATATGGTTCCTGGTTGACGCGAACGGTGGCGAACATCTCTCGCGCGCTCGCTTTATCACAAGAAGCGACTCGGTGAGAATCAGCTTCTCCGAGGCAAAGAAATAAAGAAACGCCAAACTCCACGGCGCGAAAAAAGGTTCGTGTAATCCCCAGAAAACACTGCCAAAAAGATACTTCCGAATTTGAAGAGGTTTGGGACGTTTAAAAGTGTAACGTTGTACTTCTTCGCCGCTCGAGCATTTCCCCTTCGTCCAGCAATGCAACCCTGTGCCACACACAGACAGTCTACTGACACGAGGGCTGAGCCACTGCGAGAGCGCCTCTTGCTAGCCAATGAGATGAGAGAACCGAGAGTTTTGCCCTGCCTACCAATTGCAGGGCCGCGTCCCCACGTGGGGACTGCATCCTGATGCATGACATCATACTCGCCATTTTAGATCAGAACAGGTAGCTCGTAATGCAGCCGCTGAACATTTCTAGGTATTTTTGAACAAAGTGGACCGATGTCACAGTCAATGTCTTTGTTTGGAGATCTAACACAGTCACAGTATAGACACAGACGACGTTCTGAGTAGGAAAACAACACCATTGTGTATTACAAACACTATTATTTATTATGTCGGTTAAAAAATTAAATGTTTAGTAGGTTAGAAATCTGCCTTAAAGTTTTTAAGAGGAAAACAGTAAATGCAATATTGACGGTAAGATTACACACACACATTATTAATGTTTGTGTGTACATCTCACAGTTAAAAATGAATAAATCACAATTTAAAGTAGGTATATCATACGCATAACTTCTAATCCATTTAATTTTCCTATTTAAATAACGCATGTTTACAAAACATTATTTTCAGATTTCTCAAGCTAATGTCCCTTTCATAACATAATGACGTACACAACGTGTACATCTATACGAATATATCGTCAAGATGGACAGATAGCTAGCGTTGGGAATACGCTGATTGTTCAGGTTTGATCTCCGTGAACAACGGCCATGTCTGAACTCAGAGGAAGAAGCGCCCAATCCCGTGCAGTTTCTTCTGTTGCACCCACGTGGGATCCCTTTGCGGCTTTACAGCTTCTCAGCCAATCACAGAGTAGCATTCATATTCTCTCGACTGCAATTGGACAGTAAAGGTTAAGGCTGTCATTCAAGAAGGTTTGTTGTCAATCAATACCACGCGGGGTCAAGCGCTGACAAATGCCTGTGCTTCTCGCTCTTCTGCCCGTGAATAGTGCCTGGAATGGCTGCTTAATTAGCTTCGAATGGCTTTTCTTTCCAGTTCAAACAATCTGTTACTACCACGTGGTAATGAGAGCCTTACATAAAACAAAGGAGCAAAGGAGCATGCAAACACTTAATAACATGAAAAAATCCCTTCGCTTATAATCACATGTTACTCACATATAAAATAGCATCGTTATAGCAGTATAAGTTGATTTTATTTCTTGAAAAAGGAAATTAAGAAAATGTAAAATGATGTCTGAACATGATGATATTTGTTTACAAACTAGTTAGTATTTAGAGAGCAATTACTGCTTTGTGATTAGGGCATTTAATATTGTATGTTAATTTTGTTATTTATGTTTATCTTATTTTTTTAGAGAAATCTCTTTTTTTTATAAAAAAAACTAACTTATCCTATTTTTTAGCTATTCCTATTTTTTTATTTATTATTATATATTTTATTTTTGTGTACTTGTTTTTGGATTTGCATATCACATACCTTTCTATTTTATAATATGCATATCAATATGGATAATATACAATAAACACCAGGGTGGTCTTGTAGAAGAAGAAAAAAATGCAATGCACCATGAATTTGCTTAATGTTTATTCCAGGTCTGGGACTACTTACAGCTCAGTGATGTGAAGTCTTTAGTATTTATGGACTGTGGTTTTGGTTTTGAATCGAGGGTGTCATGCATAGAGACACACGTCATGTTCTGTGGTTGGCCTGTGACTGATACTCTTGATTCTGTCCATCCTTTTGATAAAAAAAAAGAGAAAAAAATCAGGAGGTGCTTATCAGGGCTGTTCTTTTGGCTGAAAGAGAAGGAGAATGTATGTGTGTGTGGGTGTCAGAACTGGCAGACTAATCTCTCCCAGGCAACCCCCCATCCTCCTCAATAGAAAGTGCTTGGATTTAGAGCAACAAAAGACTAGGCCTAACCCCAGGGAGAAGGCCAGGGCCCCTCCACCCACACAGACCTCCTCACTGTTTATTTACACGGAAACCCCAGCCACTGTGAAACTCCCACCCCCAGAATTTACACATGCCACTATTTGCAGAGGTGCTTTTAATTCTTTGCAGAACAAGGATCGCCTGCCCCGCTCTCAACCTTAGCCGCTGCCCAGTTCCCACACGTACACACACACATATACACAACCTAAACACATGACCGAAAACAATCCAGCCACACTCAGACGTTTGAGTAACTGTGTGCACATATTCCAGTTGTTCAGATCGTCTTGTGTGTTTTGATGTTTCTCCCTCTCGCTATTGTAGATGGCTCTTTCCTGTTCTGGCTCAGCTGTTGTTAAACATACAGCTACTATAATGCCAGTTCATAAGAAGGCTATACATCTTGTGAGCCCTTAATGTTTGCACGCTGAAAACAAGGCACAGATAAATAGTTGAATCTGCAACAGCATTCATCACCATCCGATTGGTGCCTTATGCAGATTTGCTCAGTATGTGGTCATTAATGTGACGCACATAAGAAGCCAGGGTGAAATGTAAACTCTCAGCCCATAAATGAGTAATGCGCTACACTCTCCACCATATTCAATTGGAAGGTTCCCGCTCATGGAGCATAAAATGGGGGGCTTATTTCCGTGATGAGTGAGTATTGTGCCGCAGCGCTGTCTCCAGGGCACTGACATGCTTGCGCTTTGGTACCTAAAAGCCAGGAGAACAGAGAGTGCAATCACACACACACGCATTCCAAGCCCACAATGGGCCCAGTGTGTGGTGAAGGGAATTGAATGGCCCACAGTGTATCAGGGTGACTCGTCAGGCTGTAATCAATGCAAACAGGATGAAAGGCCTTATCAAAAGGGACAAATGCAGACATGAACAGTGTCGCCAAACAAAAAGGGATGGAGCCGTTGGCAGAGGCTCCGGTCCAGGCTGAATGCAGCCAGCAGCGGGGAAACAGAGCCAATTACTACTCTGAAATTCTAATTCTCTGACATCAACAGCCACTCATTGATATCTTAAAGCCTCAAGTACAGGCATTAGCACTATACGTGCTGCAAGCTAACGGAAATGCATTGTCTCTGCACTGCACTATACACAAATTTGATCGCCTGATAGTCAAATTATTTTATACTTTGGCTGAATGTGACTTTATGATGATTGGTCATTTGGGGTGTAACAATATATTGTAATTTTGTATTTTTGTCTAAGCAGAATCATGAATATTCTATTCTGGTGTCACCATTGCCCTGTGCATGAGGGAGAAGGACAAAGTCCAAGCCTATTCAAGTTCATTAAATTTAGCATTTTTAATGAACTGCTCTTTTGTGTACCATATGTGTTAGAAGTATATTCATTTTTAAAAAACCCATACAATTTGGCTTTGTTCAAAGCATCGTGAGAGTAGCGTACCATGAGATTAGTATTGCGTATCGAACCAGGTCATGTGATGAGTATATTGTTACACCTGTTAGTCGTTTAATTTTTAAATCGTTTTCTCTGGCTGTCGCTAATAAACGCAATACTACTCATTTTGATATCACTTCAAGCGAAGATTTCATTACATGCGAGTGTCTGAAAGGTACAGCTGCCTTAGCAATTTGCTGGAACCGCCAAGGGTAAAACACTGGCAGAATGAACAGTAAAGATCCCCCAAAACCTCTCAACCACAATGACCTTCTCACTGTGTTGTCGTAAAAATCAATAGCCCTGTCTACACTGCTTTAGAAGGGGTCTAACGGCCAAAGAAACGCCTCTCGCACACACTCCCTCCGGCCTGTTAATATTTCACTACCAGTCAGATGGTCATTTTTTCCTCATTTGGAGGATCTGTTGAGAGTATATTCATATCCTCAGAGCAAGGGTTAATGCTATTCAGCCTCTGACAATAAAATGCTACAATGAGTCCCGTTTTGAGAACACAGCCGCATTAATGACTATTGTGCGCAGCGACTGACTCATCTGTCAAGAGGCTTGTATGCTCCCATTTACAAAGCCTCTCCTCCTCCATAATGGCAACGGCCATCATTTATTCCGCTCAGGCTGGCAGACTGTGTGATATCAAACCCTTGAAGTCTGACCTCCTGTCAGGCATTCTTAGCTACAAAAAGCTACTGAAAGCCTCTCTTGTGCCATTGTTGATTAGCAATCCATTAATATAGAGCATCACGTAGCTTCAGGTTAACCGCAAACCAGCGAGACGATGACACTTGAGAATATTTTTTTCCCCTCCTACGAAGGGATTTCAGTGTTGTTGTAAACATGGCGCGACCCCCTCCGCTCTCTTGTTAGCGTCAAACCCGTGGCTGCAGCGGCAAAAGGGCCCTCTGTTATCCGCGCTCTCGTCGTTTCTTCTTCGAGTCACATCTCACTCAGACTAGGCCAGAGCAGAGCCGTTAGATAATTGCTAGCGACACTCACTTCGGCATTTACATCAATTTCACAATGAGCCGCTAAAGTTCCCAGAGCCTTTCCTTTGAACTCCCAGAGCACAAACCGCTCCGTGTCTCTGTTGGATTCGGTCGCTCTCATTAAAGTGGAGAGGGATTAGTCACTGGGAGGGAGATTTTAATGGAGTATTGTGTCATTATTATTCCACACTGATCAACAAGGTCCTCTCACTCGCCACTGTTCCCCCAAACAACCCCTACCGCAGATTCTCGCTATTTTTCTTTGGGTCTAGCGCAAATTGTCCCCAAACACAATGGGCCATAATCAAGGTGTAAACCCACCACACCTTGCAAGACGATGCCATTAGCATCTTGAAAAAAGGAGAAGCTGTTCTGTTTTTCACACGCCTCCCCCTCTCTGTTCACAACATCATTGTCAGTTTATGCCCACCCCCCTAAAAGATTAATCCGATTCTAATTAGATTCTGCCTCTCTTGTAGTTTCACACAAATCAACACTATCTGTTGTACATCTGCGAAGGTCTCGTTTCTTGCGGCAGCAGTTAGATAAAATCAATGGAGTGTGATTGATGTAAGCTTTGTGCCTGACAGTTCTGTGATGAATCTAAGCAAAACTAATTGTCTGACAGATTTCCAGCATGTGCGCGCTCATCTGCGAGCGCTGAGCTGCTGGGGAGAGAGA